CACCATCCAGGTCTACGAGGAGACATGTATCCTTCTGGACGTGCGACTGTGTGTTCCCTGCCTTTTGAATTCAATGTATATTGATCCATTTGTCAGACATACAGGTGAGAGACAGACAGGTGAGAGACAGATATGTAAGACACAGACAGGTAAGACACAGACAGGTGAGAGACAGACAGGGTGAGACAGACAGGTGAGAGACAGACAGGTGAGAGACAGACAGGTGAGAGACAGACAGGGTGAGAGACAGACAGGTGAGAGACAGACAGGGTGAGAGACAGACAGAGTGAGAGACAGACAGGGTGAGAGACATACAGGTGAGACAGACAGGTGAGAGACAGACAGGGTGAGAGACAGACAGGTGAGAGACAGATATGTGAGACAGACAGGTGAGAGACAGATAGGGTGAGAGACAGACAGGTGAGACGGACAGGGTGAGAGACAGACAGGTGAGACAGACAGGTGAGACAGACAGGGTGAGAGACGGACAGGGTGAGAGACAGACAGGTGAGAGACAGACAGGTGAGAGACAGACAGGTGAGAGACAGACAGGGTGAGAGACGGACAGGGTGAGAGACGGACAGGGTGAGAGACAGACAGGGTGAGAGACAGACAGGGTGAGAGACAGACAGGTGAGAGACGGACAGGGTGAGAGACGGACAGGGTGAGAGACGGACAGGGTGAGAGACGGACAGGGTGAGAAGGACAGGGGAGAGACAGACATGTTATCAGTAGGGATCCAAAAAGAGTGATACACCTCCTAGTAGGCCATCTTACATGACACCTCTGCTTTTAAAAGATCTCTGAAATATAATATTTATCAAATGTTTCATAAGAATGAGACAATACCAACATTTCATATATTTACCATGAGCACAAAAATATGGCGTGTTTTAATCCGTACAACACATAACTTTTTATCTAATAACACGATGAAGCAAATGTGTTTATTTGAAAGCGAGACGAAAGAGGAAGGAGAAGTGAATCAGCACATTGTCCGACCCATGAACTGTGAGAAAATAATGATGGTTGTAATAGTTGGCCTTTTATAAAGTGACATATGAGAGGTTATCATATTTTAAAGAACTCACATTCTTTCCCTTTTTAAGGAGAATGATAAATCATCCTTTGGTCACATCTAGTCTGTGTGCCGAGAGGCCAGCAGGGGGCGTAACGTCGCCCTCTGATGCATGAAAGTGTTTTGTCATTTCTACAAGTCAATCCTACATCCCAGTCGAAATGTTTTTTCCTGAGCGTGGGTGCAGCCGGCGTGTCTGTGGGAGACCCGGTGCTGCGGACGGGGAAGCCTCTCTCCGTGGAGCTGGGTCCAGGGATCATGGGCTCCATCTTTGACGGTATCCAGCGACCCCTGAAGGACATCAACGACATGACACAGAGCATCTACATCCCCCGAGGAGTCAACATCGGAGCCCTGAACCGAGACCTCAAGTGGGAGTTTAATCCCATCAAGAGCCTGCGGGTGTGTGCAGGGTTACAACCTTCATGTTGACATGTCGTACCTTAGGGGTCCAAAGACTATATTTAACACAATATTTGTTTTGATTGTCTTTTGGGCAAACTTTGAAAATGTTAGATTACATAGAAAACATTTTTGTCAATAATAGAAGCAGGAAATTAGCTGTTTTTTTCTATCTTTTTTAAAACTATATTTGTATTGATTTTTTACATTTGATGGAATACAAACAGGAAAGAAAGAAAACACACAGACGGGCATAGAAAAGGAAGTTAGATGTTTTTAAATGTACATATATTTAATATTCAACTTGGCCTCAGATGATTAGAGGCCAAATATCATATTTAGACTTTTTTTTTTTTTTTTTACATATAATTGTAAAGCCTAACTTCCAACAGGAGCCATTTGGGGGGGCTCTGTGGAAAAAAGGTTGGGAACCCCTCTTCTAAGTTATACAATATTTGCTCTTTTTGCACGTGGGACAACGTAGTTCAATGCGCTCAAAGATTAAACCTATTATGATCAATTGAAAATGTAAGCTGAGGTCAGGTTCGGGCGCAAGTGGGATATATTATCAGACTTTCTCTTTTTTTGTATCCTTATCAGGTTGGCAGCCACATCACAGGAGGAGACATCTACGGCATAGTGTGCGAGAACTCCCTCATCAAGCACAAGATCATGCTGCCTCCCAGGAACAGAGGCACGGTGACCTACGTGGCTCCGCCTGGAAACTACGACGTCAACGTGAGTCCCCCCCCCCCCCCTCCCCCTCCTCCTGATGCTCAGTCTCCCACTGTCGGATGTTTGTGTTAATGCCCTGCGTCTCTGCCCCAGGACGTGGTGATGGAGCTGGAGTTCGAGGGGCTGAAGGAGAAGTTCACCATGATCCAGGTGTGGCCCGTCAGACAGGTCCGACCCGTCACAGAGAAGCTGCCGGCCAATCACCCGCTGCTGACCGGACAGAGAGTGCTGGACGCCCTTTTCCCGTACGTCTCCTCCTTTACTAACCTTCATCGCTCCAGACATGTGGCTAACCCTAACCCCCCTCTCCTCTCTTCGTGTGCAGGTGTGTGCAGGGAGGAACCACAGCCATCCCAGGAGCGTTCGGCTGTGGAAAGACTGTCATCTCTCAGTCGCTGTCCAAGTACTCCAACAGTGACGTCATCGTCTACGTCGGCTGCGGGGAGCGCGGTAACGAGATGTCAGAAGTACTGCGAGACTTCCCAGAGGTGGGTGTTTGTTAAAGAGGACATGCTCATATTCAGGTTCATATTAGTATTGTTTGCCTGGACTGTGACATGTTTCCATGACAACTCATTACAGCTATTGATGAACTGCTTAGCAGAGATCAAATGTCCTCAACCTCAATGAGAGCAAGATTGAGGTTATCTTTTTTGGACCCCAACCTCCCAGGTTGATATTCTGGGCTCCCTCAAAAATAATATCCTCCCCTCTGTCACGAACCTTGGAGTGACCTTCAATAGCGCTTTTAGATTTGATAAGCAGGTCAGCAGCGTATTCAAAACCTGCTTTTTTAAAATACGACTATTGAGACCAAGACCAAGTCGTTTTTATCTTTTAAAGACCTGGAAAGGGTTATTAACGCCTTTGTTACCTCGAGGTTAGATTACTGCAACGCTCTATACGTGGGTATGGACCAGGCGCCTGCAGCTAGTCCAGAGCGCAGCTGCACGTCTACTCACTGGTCATAAAAAGCGTCACCACGTCACCCCAATTCCGGCCTCACTGCACTGGCTTCCAGTTCGGTTCAGAATTTATTTTAAACTCCTTTTATTTGTTTTTAAAGCCCTAAATGGGCTCCGGCCTGTAGCTGAACTCCTCCATCGATACACCCCAGCCAGAGCCTTAAGGTCTGCTGACCAGCTGTTGTTGGTAGTGCCCAAGACCAGGCTCAAAACCCCCGAGCCTTCGCTGCAGCTGGCCCTCTGGAACACTCTGCCCCTCCATGTGAGGTCGGCCCAGACCCTAGGGGTTTTAAATCTACCTTAAACTCACCTCTTTTCTCTGGCCTTCTAGTCAGAGCGGAGCACGACTCCTGACTTTCCCTGTGTTTAAG